GATTACTTTTTCCTCTAACCCTGAATGGCGAATATAGTATTTCTCTCGCATTCATTTACATATTTTCCAATGATCAAAATGTCATCTAAATAAATAACAAAAACAATATGCAAACTTCTCAAATATTTCACTATAGGCCTGAATAGCTTCGAGAATATTATATGGGCCTACATTCAACCCAAAAGGAAGTCAATTGAATAACTGATATTGATTTTGAAACTTGAATCTCAAATATGTTTTATATCTCTCATCAATCGACAGGAGAAAATATGCATCTTTGAGATCTATGTTGCACAAATAATTATTTTTTGACAGCGGTCTCAACACAATTCTAAAATCCTCCATTTTAAAGTGTGGAGCTTTTATATGTTTATTGAGATTTTTTAAATTTAATACGAAATTTCCATCCTGTTTTGCAATTAGGAAATAATGAGACAAGAATGGATGTCTTATAGGTTTACATTTAGATATACCGGGTGACACAGGTTATCGGGCCTCCCCTGTAACTTCTGCATTCGTCAACGGATTTTTCTGAAATTCGGTACAGTTGTATAAGCAACTATTTCGGATTTGATCACATTACAATCCAATATAGCGGACTTCCGGTTTTTCTGGAAATGCCAGCAATTTTGTTTTTTCAAATGGAACACCCTGTATATTTTTACATATTCAAGTTCAACAGGTCAAAACAAGTGCAATCTTGATGTCAAATGTCATTTATTCCACAGCCTACCTAGTTGAAAAATTATTCTAACTGCAAGGAAATTCATAAACAAGTTGTTGATTTTTGAATGTATACAATTTGTTACTGCACCGAAAAACAAAAATGATATGTCATTTACTTCCTCAATGTATGTTCTAGAGAGACGGGTAGGTGGCCCATGGGGGTTCCATTTAAAAAAAATAATTTTTGCTCATAAAGTGATGTGGCTGAATTGATTCCTGGATAAGTGACACAAAAAATAATTTTTCAGAAAAACGTATGTTCTTCTGTTATGTGTGACTCATTGTGAATAGTCTTGACCACATCTCATTTATCCACGAGGTAAAATGAAAAAACAATTTTAATTTAATTTTTTTCGAAAAAATTACATTTGAAATAGAGATTGCACTTGTTTCGACCTGTTGAACTTGAATATGTAAAAATAAACAGGGTGTTTCATTTGAAAAAACAAAGTTGCTGGCATTTCCAGAAATACCGGAAGTATTCCATATTGGATTGTAATGTGGTCAAATCCGAAATAGTTACTAATATAACTGTACCGAATTTCAGAAAAATCCGTTGACGAATGCAGAAGTTACAGGGGTGGCCCGATACCCTGTGTGTATATGCCCAATGATCTACTTATAGTTGACTTGAAATTTTGTATTTGTTTATCATCAATTTTAATATATGGTTCATGTTTTTGCCTAGGTTTCCTGATGAACGGTATTTTCATACCCCTCACCCAATTCAATATTTTTGTGTCTCGAGTTATTTCTTTCCATTTACCCAAGTGTTTAGCAATTAGCATTAAATTCTACCTTATCTAATATCTCCGGTAATGCTGGCATTGGCTGGTTAATGGTCGTCCTCTCTTCCCCCACGTTTCTGGTTGTCTTTTCTGTCCATTCTCTTCTCCTCTTTCCTTCATTTTCGTTTTGGATGCTGGACGAAAATACTTAAATGCTGCATTGTTGTTGATTTTGGTATGCTTGGCTGCGGTGGTCCTTGAAATTTGTTCGAATAAGGATATTGCGTTTTCTTTTTGATTTCATAGCTGACTTTTTTTGCAGATTGGTTCGATTCGAGTTCTTCCCCGAAGTTTTTTCCAAACAAAAACTCATCGGTGATATTTCTAGCAACCTCTTACAATCGCCGTGTACAAATGGCATCACCTTATACTTCCGGTGAAGTGATAGTCCATTATGTACAGGGTGCGCCCCTTAAAATGGAACCCCCCCTTAACTCTTTTGTTTTCGGATATGAAGAAATTTTAAATAAAAAAGTTGTTTGAAACGACCCAAACTTTCATTTCGTGAAGTTGTTTCATATACAGGGTCATTCGTTTTTGCAGAAAGGACATCAACTTTGATTTTTTCAATAGAATACCCTATATATTTTCCAACATGTCGATAACGCTTTTTTTTCTGATTCCAAAAATATATATGAGTTGCATATTCAGAGGAAAAATAATTGAGTTGCTTTATGAACCTTCACTTCATAGGTAATATCATTACGTCCATGGGTAATATCATCTAATGTAAGTTGGAACATAGTGGGCTTTGAAATAATGTTTATAAATTGTTTGAGCTCCATGTTTATTATGAAATTGAAAACGTTCGTTTTTTATAGAGAAAAAAATGGGTTACAGTTTGAATAAAAGATGCGAAATTTTGGAAATATACATTTCTTGCGGGAAAAATGCAACCGCTGCTCGTAGAGAATATGCGCATCGGTTCGGTGATCGTCCGCCATTTTCGAATACCTTCAAGAAGATCTTCGAGAAGTATAGACGAGATAGTGGTAATTTGGGTGATATGAAGAAGAATCGGTAAAAAACGGTATTCATAGAAGAGACAGAGGAAAAGATATTACATTATTTCATTGAAGACCCGAGTCGTTCCACAAGAAAGGCTGTAAATTACTTCAATATATCCACGACAAATGTGAGACGAGTTTTGAAGAAGCATCATATGAAGCCATGCAAAGTAATGCCAGTGAATTATTTGTTTCCTCAAGATCATCCAACTCGTTTACGATTTTGTCATGAAATACTTGAAAGACATAATCGCGATGAAAATTTTACTAAGAATATTTTATTCACGGATGAGTGTTCATTTTCAACTTCAGGAATGTTTAATAGGAAAAATGAGCATAGCTGGGCTACGGTTAATCCGAGAGTAATGAAACCGATTAAAAAACAAGGCCGGAGAAGTGTAAATGTCTGGTGCAGTGTTTATAGTTGTAATTGGTCCCATCTTCATGGATGGCAGTCTTACGGAGCAAAAATATTTGGATATGTTGCAAGGTGATATTGAAAACTTGCTTGATGAAGCAATTCCTTTGAATAGACGAAACCAATTGGTATGGCAGCAGGATGGTGCACCTCCTCACAATGGAATTGAAGTCACGAACTACCTCAATGAGAGTTATGACACTTGGATTGGAATGCCAATATTTTACCTGCCCCGTAGCCCAGACCTGACGTCTTGTGATTTTTTCCTGTGGGGAGCGCTGAAAGACAAGATCTATAAACATGATATTCCGGATACTGACTTCTTGAAAAATAAAATAACAGAAGAAATTCAATTATTGAATAATGATCCAATATTATTCGAAAGGGTTCGCCAAAATTTTATAGCAAGGTGTCAACTCTGCATTGACCAGAATGGCGGAATTTTTGAAAATTTGTTGTAGATAGCTCTAATGTGTATTCACAATCTCATATAGTTCATTCAATAAATATTGTTTATAAAGATTCATTCAAGTTTTGTTGTCAAGAACTCTTGATGCTATTTCGACATTTACGCATGCGTTAGTATTATAGTGTGATACCAAATCTATCCACATAATGATTTGTAGTTTATTGACTTTACCATGGAATATTTTTTCAAATCCCACTATGTTAAACCATGATATAAACTGAGAATTCATGAAGCGGTATTTTGGTCAACTTTGATCATCAATAACTCAATTATTCTTCATCCGAATATGCAAGTCATATATATTTTCGGAATAAGAAAAAAAAACTCTATCGACATGTTGGAAAATATATAGGGTGTTCCATTGAAAGAATCAAAGTTGATAGTCTTTCTGGAGAAACGAATGACCCTGTATATGAAGCAATTTCACGAAATAAAAGTTTGTGTCATTTCAAACAACTTTTTTATTCAACATTTTTCCATATCTCCGAAAACAAAAGAGTTAAGGGGGGGTTCCATTTTAAGTGGCGCACCCTGTACGCTAGTCACTATTTGGCCCATGTCTGTCAATATGGAAAGTGTGTTCTCATCCTTCTGTGTTGTTGCTGCAATGACATCATGAATTTGTCATGTTTTATAGCACTTTCTGGAAGACAAGATTGAATTTCCGCATGATTTGAGGCGACAGTAGTGCTGGACAATTTTTGGGCACTTGATATTTCTCCATTAATTCGGCCTTTTCTCTTTACCAATACCCTTCTGCAAGAATGCAGTCCATCTTATAATCACCTCATCGTGTAACGGTTCTCCTTCTGATGATTAGTAACGGGGTTTGCTGCCTAATAATGTATAATTGATATTATCATTTTCGCCTTCCTTATCAATATTTTCTGAATCTAGGTCAATTTCTTCCATGTTTGCGGCTGATTCTGGCAACAAAAGAAAATAGATGTATGAGCGATCGTTTGATCACATTATATTGTAATTTTTAACGTGTGTTGCATAATGTTATAGATCCTTTGATCTCATTCATGTTGTATAACGTGTTTTACACAAAGAATTTTATAAGGCTAACGTTTGTTACTCCTTTGTTCAAAAACAAGATGAATTCCACCCATTGCTAAAAACCAAATAATGTTTTGGAACTCACCTGCCTCGAAGTATTCAGAGTCGCTGGAATTCAAGTCTTGGAAAGCCTGCAGTGATTCATCCAATTTCTTCTTTAGTTTTTTCCTCTTATGGCTTTTATTCGAGTCCCCAGATCTTGGTCTTTTTCACATTCTTTGCACTGAACTTCACAAAGAGATAAAATTACTTCCGACGTTCACTATGTACGAAAAAGGACGCGTCGGGAGACAACACAACCTCGAGCTAAAATCTATGAGTCAACTGCCAGAAACCAGTCAAACAAACGTGAGTGATCAGTGACTAATCAGATTATTCAACTTTCAAAGATGTACCATTGGAAACCTATAAAGGAACACTATATCAAAAGACAAGGGAAGGAAAATTTCACATAATAATGGTGGGGTATCTTTTTCATATTTGTAGGTCAATATGGGTTTTGGATAAGCATTGATGAGTACCTAAGTCAAATTTATCAATTCATCATGTTAATACCAAATATTGGGAAAGAAATACAATGAATTCAGTTAAAATTAATGTATTTTTCTGAATAAAATTTCTTTATCAAATAACTCTCATCATAGAATCTCAAAAATACAATATTTTGATACAGCATACATATTCCTAATAACACAAGATGCCATCTATACGAATCTTTTTCAAAGAAACTATAGTTTTCACAGAACGTTATTGAACTGGGGGTAGGTAAATTCAGATTAGAAATAAGGAGATATAGATACTAAATCAGGAAACCAGCATTTACATTCTCCTATCCGCCATTCATCTGCTTTTCTAATCGAACTTTCAAAGTCAACCTTTCTTCTCTGAGCTCAGCTAATTCTTGACTCAATTCTTGACATATCCTCAACAAAACCGTATTCTCCTCTTGCAATTGTTGGAAAAGTGTCCATTTCACTTTTTCTTCAATACCAACAGGGCTATCTTTGCCTCTTAGTTGAGGTTTCCTATAAATTTCGAAGGCTCCGTGTTTCCTCGGAGCATCGTCACTAGGTTCCGGAACAGAAAACTGTGCAAATAACTTTTTTCTTTCAGCTTCATAAACATCCCCAGGAAAAATCCCATTTGACACATTTTCGTATTTTTCAAACTGATCGAAATCAGCAAAGGTCTCTACTTGAGATACAGAGTCTCCTTCAGATCTTTGATTCATCAGCTTCTTTGTGCCTTGAATGTTAGGACTGATTCGAGGGGGCACTGTGGGAGGGGCTCCAAGCTTGCTCAACCTATTCAAATCTAGAGATGAACTACGACCATGAGTTTTGAAACATCGTGGAGGTGGCGGTGGAGGTTTTTCTTTTTTCGGCGGAGGATATGCTGGTAGACTAACCGGCCCCTCTTCGAGGGTGTTTTGATTGTTAGGTGGTGGGGGAATAGCCCCTGGCCCAGGCATGCTGATTTTTTTGGGTTGGGGTCGTTGAATTGCGCTGTTTTGTGCATTCAGAGATGCATTTGGCATATTTTGTGATACAGGTACAGTAGATTCACTGAACTTTTTAGGGCTTTGCAGATCAATACCATCAATTTGGTCATCGATCTGGTTATTTGCTACTTCTGGGGTGAGGCGCAAAGCAACTGGATGTAGAATTTTCGAATCTGTGTCTAATGTGACTTTCTGAAAATCAAAATTCACTGGTTTAGGCCCAGGCGAGGAGACTGAGCTTGTAGGACTATCAATAAATTTAGTCCACTCCTTAGCAGCATCTTTGGTTTGTGGAGATAAAATAGGTTCTGTCTCTGGACTCCCGGAAATTGGAGTTTCATTTCCAGGAACCAAAGGAGGTGGTAGAACATCTGGCAGCTCAATGTGATTCCTCCTAAGGACAACAAGATGCATGGCAGCCATGAATTCTTGCAATGATAAAGCACCATCTTTTGTAACATCTGCTAGCTGCCATATTTTTCTGAGTTCATGTATTGGGAGTCTCGACTTCTCAAAAAATGTTCTAGCTACAGGGCCAGCTAGTAAGGCATTACTGTCTGGTTGGAGGGATTTAAACTGGTTGATGTAGTATTCTCGCTGTTCATTTGTTATAGTCCATACTTCATTAGACACCTCAGTATCTTCCTCACTACTATGTTTTTCTGAAGATTCTTCTTCTGTCCCTGGATCAGAATAAAAACTATTCAATTTGAATAAAGAAAATAAATCATTTCAAAGAAAGAGAGCTCAATACCATCGTCAGCTTCCCTCATACTTCTCAACATTTCCATCCCACTCTGAACTAATGTTAATTCATTTTTTAAGAAAAACCTGAATCACTAAGTAATTCAATAACCCATCTACTCAATTATTATCAGGAACATTCGAATATTAAAAATACTGATACAGACAGTATTGAGCAATAATGAAATTTTATGTTGGTTGGAAAATTAGCCAATTAGAATCTATGTTGACTTCAAAAGTAGCTTTCTTGAAGGTTACTCATTGTATCATGACATAATTGACAAAGATTTTGAGTTTCTGAGATAAAATGGATGATGAAATAATCATCCAGTATAGTTATTTCTCTGATAACTTAATACCATTGTGTTTGGCTATTTAAGGTTGTTGGAGCCTCAATTTTTCTAATATTTTGGTGGTCTTTCTGCTCTCACATTGACACAGGAGAACCAAAACAGGAAGGTTTCTACCTTAGCATATCCCTGAGTTTTCTGCTGACATTCTAATTTTGACATGAAATGATAGTTGAATACACTCACCGGCAAAATAATCGTTCCACGATAAAATTTTATCAATGATAACTTTCTTAATTCAAGTCCGATTTGTTTGATTTTTTCTGTTATTTCGTAGGATTTCAAGAAATTAAGCATATCTCCAAATTATACAGAGTGACACAAAAAGTGCATTTTCAGTTCAATTTCAAAACATTCTGTGGAGTGGCTAAGCTCGCATGTCCTGTAATTTTTCAATTAATTATGAAGTTATGTTATGCTGTCACAAGGGCTTTAAAAAAACGTTCCATTTCTACATTTTTTTCATGGCAAAAACGAAGTTCCCCAAGAAATTATGTTTTGCAAAGCTGGATGTGACAGACCTGTCAGAGTTGACAATTTGTATGCTCGTGTTTATCATCGAATGGTTGAATAAGATATGGATCTTTCAGCAACCGACTCCTGCGAGAGCTATTGTTTTGAGTGCAGGATGGTAGATCACAATATTATGCCAGAGTTTTGGGAGTTTCAAGATCTAGGGTGCAAAGAGTTGTAAAACGGTTACGTGAATTTAATGTATTCACAAGAAGAGATAATTGTGGTCGGCAAAAATCTGCGAATGATCGAGATAATCGCTTCATAACGCTTAAAGTTTTCAGGGATACAAGACTCACTTCTGTCCAAATGAAAAATAAATTAGAGGAGGTGAGGCATGTTTGTTCAAGTCAGTGATAGAATAATAAGAAGGAGGCTTTTCGATATTGGACTCCGAGCAAGCAGACCTGCAACTGGTCCAGAGTTATTGAGGAATCATCGAGTTAAACGCCTCAGATATGCTAGGGAAAAGGAATATTGGGGTAATGATCAATGGAGCACTATCATATTCACCGACGAGTCACGGTTTTGTCTCAGATCACCGTATGGACGTGAAAGAATTTACCTAAGAACTATAGAACGTTTTTTCCAAAACCATTTTCAGCCAAGAGTGAGTTACGGAGGCGGTTTGATAATGGTGTGGGGTGGCGTGAATTTTGAAGCTCAAACGGACTTAGTCATAGTGGAAAGGGGATCCATGACAGCCGATAGGTATATAAACGACGTTTTAAAACCATATGTTGTCCATTTGCGCCGTTCATCGAAGACGATTTCATGTTGATGGATGATAATGCAAGCCGCATGTTGCAAGAATTGTTAATGAGCATTTAGCTGATGTTGATATCCCTTCAATGAAATTGGCTTCCTTGAAGCCGATACTTGAACCCAATTGAACATGCTTGGGATGCTCTTGGGAGAAAAGTACGATCCCGTTTACCAGCTCCTGCAAATTCACAGGAGCTCAGTGAAGTTTTAATAGAAGAATGGCATCAAATCTATCAGGCGTATTCAAAATCTGCGATAATGGGCATGCCAAGACGATTTTGCAGCAGTTATTCATGCACGTGGGGGAAACACATCATACTGATTTCATAAGCATCTTTGAATCACTTTTCTGGTTTCATTCGTTATTATCATCATTGCTTATTTCCAAAGTTTATTATCACCATAATGTAGAAATTTAACGTTTTTCTGAAATCCTTGTAACTTTCACAAAATAGCAGTTATCATAACAAATAAGAAAAGAAAACGTACATAATGAAAGTAGGTAGATGATTAAATAAGAAATTACTCGATTTACCAGCTTAGCCACTCCAGAGATTGTTTCAAAATTGGAGTGAAAATGCACTTTTTGTGTCACTCTGTATAATTTGGAGATATGTCTCATTTATTGAAATCTCAACCTCGTGTGAGATTCTTTATGAATTTACCTACGAAATAAAACAAAAATCGAACAAATCAGTCTTGAATTGCCAAAGTTATTGTTGATAAAATGTTATCAATATTTTGTGTGGATCGATTATTTTGTCGGTGAGTGTATGTATGTATGAGTGATAGCAAGCTCACCAAGTAGTTGTCTCTGTTCCTCGGAAACTAGACCTTGCCAGGTACTGCCAACTACCCAGCTTCTATCTTGCACACTATTTGTTGGTGTTGGACTATCCGAATTAGCACTGGATGCATCTGGAGAGCCATTCCTTACTGTGTCACTATCTACTTCTGAATCGGTGCTACTTGTAGTATCTATCTGAAGAAGAAGAAGAAATATGCTTTGTTGTCCAAAGAAGTTATTCTCATTGACAAAGCTTCTTACTTAGGGATAACCTTAAGAATTAAAATGAACAATAGTAAAAAAAATAAACAATAGTAACATCAACAGGTATGAGTCTACAAGAGACGTAATCAGTTTAAAAAAGGAATATAAGCTACATAGAAGGTGAACAGGAATAAGCCTATGCATACAAATCCACTAATGCTAATTATATTCAAAACTTCAGATATATATATCACCAGTTAAAAATTAATGAACATAGGTAATAATGAGTGGTTCCAATATCCATCAGCAAATTACAACAAATAGTTTAAAATTTTCATAGAAACATGCATAAGTAAGTCCGCTAAAGCTCGTCGTTAAACAACTCAGTAACATTGTAGTAGGGGCGATCCAATAGTAGACGTTTTACTCTCTTCCGGAAGTTGTCAAGCAAGCTGATTTTCCTCATTTCTATTGGGAGGTGGTTGTACATTTTGCAACCATTGTAAATCAGAGAATCTTTGATAAGATTTGTTGCCGGACGTGTTAGCTTGATGACGCTGATTGGCTGATTTGACGAGTGGCAATGTTACGATATCTTCTTCCCCGTCAATGTAAAAATTGATCGCAAAGTTCTACATTGAGAGTAAAAAAACGTAAGTCGGCTCAAGTCTTTCGATAACTTGAGGTTCCCTATTTGTTCAAATATTCTACACCATTTCTTCGAATGTTTCCGATAAAACAGGCCATAGTTTAGGGCAATCCGGCAAAATTTTAGGATTTTTGACTTTGACACAGACCTCACGTTTTAGTAGCGCTAACAGGTATAATTGTGCAGCCAATTTCTGAACATGAAGCAACAAGATCGAACTTATTAGGAGCGCACATTCACAAATAATTTTCAACAGAACAACCCAAGCTATTGGAGTCTAGAACATTTTGTAATTTGGTTATTGTACGATTTTTCAGAGTCTGCATCTTCAGTTTATCAAGTATTAAAGAGTTTATGTGCACAAAATCTAAAGAATTTGTTCTGAGTACATGCTAATATATAATTATGGATTTGAGAGATGATATGGAATTCAAATCTGAGGACTTGAGTGCATATTGTGATGAACTCAATGTATGCGGTGCTGAGCTAACTGATCTCAAACTAGTGATCGTGACTGTTTACAGATGTAACGAAGTTACTAAAATTTGGATTTTGTATCGAATGATATGCTATAATATTATTTTGGGTAAATAGCGAGCTAGCAATGCCGTTCTTTTTCGTATGGAATTCAAATAATATCGCGAACGTGCTTTTGTTTTAACTCAAGAGTCAGGACTTTTGTTAAATAACTTTATGCATCAACGCTTGAATAATGAGTGCAGCGCGGTATCCAAAATGCAGCGATGTCGCTGCGCCGAGTCAGTCACGCGATGACTGAACGTGTACCCCACGATTGGTGTGAGTGGGGATCTGGATATACAGTCGCGTTCAGCCGGAGACAACGGCAGTTGTTGATAGCCGCAACAACTATCCAGTCCTGCCAGAGCCAGCAAGAGCCGAGCCGATTACACCGACGCCGTTCTGTAGTATCAATAGGTGAGCCGACTTATAGTGATACTAAACCTGTTTCTGTTGCAGTCACGCCGAGAGTATTGAGTTCGTCCCGACTGGTAGGCTAGCCTGAACGGAACAAAGGAATAGGCTGTGATTCCGGGTTCGGGATAGCGTAGTAGTAGAGAGGAACACGGGTAGTTCCAGGAAAGGGTACTGGGACTCTATCCAGGAAAAGAGGGCTCTGCTCAATTTTCTGGAGGGAGGTCCAGAAGGTGATACCCTCCGAAAGGGAAGTAAGGAATCTTCATCCAGGAAAAGAGGGTTCTGCTCAATTTTCGGGAGGAAGATTCTGGAGGTGGCTTCCTTATAAGCGCGGGGTTTTCTCGGTTCAGTAGGGAGCCATCATACAACCCATGAAGTTGAAGTTGATTTAATTGCACGTTTTGCGCTGGTTTTAAGGTCTGCTTTGCCTGAATTCGTGTATAACGCTTGTGCTTTTACTTTGCAAACTAATATCGCCTGATACGTTTCGTGCTTCCTAGCTAATGATTTGTACAACCGGGTGATCATCAAGCTTGATTTTACTTTAAACTCTGGCAGTCATTACACTTTTGCATCCGGTGATTACTTTTGCCTCCGGATTTCATTACACTTTTGCATCCGGTGATTACTTTTGCCTCCTGATTTCACTTCACTTTTGCATCCGGTGATAACTCCACTTTTGCGGCCGGTTATAACATTAGTTTTGCCTCCGGATTTAATTTCACTTTTGCATCCGCTGATCATTTCACTTTTAATCATTCTGCTTTTGCTTCCGGCTTTCCATGCGTGCTCGCTATTATGAGGGGATGAGTATAAGATTGTAAATAATTTGTAAATAATTTAGTCATACATATGGATATAGATTATTAGATGAAAAAGTAGGTAAGTCTTACTTCGCTTTGTAGATGATAGATTCTTAGTAGAACAATAGATGTATAATAATTATTGGTAGTATTATTCATTCACTGAGTGCAACCAGTCCTACAGGGAACAAGATCTAGTTCAATAAATACTCATGTCACTTTGACACTTCAACATTTTGGACCCCTGGAATAAACTTTCTTCACTGATAGTTGCCCGGTGCAAGTGGACCTACCACTATAAAATAGGTGGCGCCCGAGAAACAAAAGAATTGTAAATAACTACTATAGAACCCGGACCGCAACGCCAAAAAGGGCAGAAAGCCCTTACACAGATCAAGTAGTTCTGGAGATCCCGAGTCTTTCATAAAAAAAACTTGGAATCTCTGTTTGATAGGTTCTTAAAGCGATATAGGAAATTTATAATACTAGACTTCAATATTGACTTCAAAGGTAATTCTTTGATATTAGACGGTTTGCTATGTCTGGTACATTCTTATGGTTTAACAGTCAAGATAAGTGATTATACCAGAATATCCATTCAGAAATCTAGCTGTCTAGACAATATCCTCACTAATATCAACCCAAACCTACACATTTCCGGAGTACTGGATATCTGTCTTTCTGATCATGTTGGCCAGTATATCATTGTTGATCAAAAACCCAAGAAAACGGTCAGTCACACATATACTAGGAGAATTACCGATTCTAGGTTGGAAAAATTCAAGAAGGGTTTATCCCAATTAAACTGGAATGTATTCAAATACAATTCAGATGTTGACTAATTAGCTTCTTTTCTGATCTCTTCATTTCATGATCTAGTACAAGAAATATTTCCTCAAATCAAGTCCAAAGTGGGAAAGAATATTTGACCGATTGAATGGTTCAACAATGACCTCAGAATACAAAGAAACACTTTAATTGGCATGAAAACTGTAAGCGATTCAAGCAATGACCCACTTGATTTATAAATGTATAAGTCATTCAAAAAACAATATAAGAAACAACTTACATTTACTAAACGAACAGCTTACAGCAATTATCTTGAGAAAGCTGAAAATAAATTTAAAGCTAGCCTAGCGCTTGATAAACTTTGAGAGGAATCATGCCGATGGAAGACATGAAACTATGCCAGATAATCCGTCCTGTTCTGATTTCATCGACTTTTTCAATAATGTCGCAGAAGACATCATTAAATCTCTTCCTGATATGACAGAATAGAAACTGACGACTTACAAAAACTCTCCTCCCTCTTCCTCTTTTTTCATGCAACCCGTCAGTGAGTGATATTATTGTGGAGCATATAACTGACCTTATTTATACAATTTGCGCCATAGGTGTATCATTCCATCAATTTACAAAGCAGACGATTTCATGGACAAAATTCCATTATTATCATCCTACGAAATACAGAACAAAATAATCATGGAAAGAGGAAATGACCGTAAAATTACATAATGAAATTGGAAATTTGAAAACAAAACTAAGAAAAGCAAGGAAACTACAACGTGATATATTATTGAATGGCGTTTTTGGTGCCGATCAAATTCAAAATTCAACAGTGAAAAGTGAATAGTTATTTATGTATCAAGGGAATTATTATAAGGGCCTTAATTACAATGGATGTTATCGTTTTGGAGATACTCTCTATATTAGTCTATATTGATCCATGCTACTTAGCTCCTAGAGTGCTAAGTGAAGTTGCTGAGAACTTTACAGAAAAAAGTATTTGGTTGGTCTCGTCAAAATAAACTACTTTTTTCCTATGAAATGTTTATCAAAAAATGATTTGTCCTCTGTGTTTCAACACCCTGTATCTCTCCTGTATCTAGCTTATATAGACTTTATTTCTTAAAATTTTCTCAGAAATACTTCACTTGAACGTACTTATGTTACTTCCTGTATATTGAGAATACCTACCTTTAATTTGATATTAATAACTTCATGTTTCATATCTATCACTGGAGTACAGTTTGACATACAATAAGGAATTATAGCTATAAGTTTATCCATATGTGTATATCTTCTAATATTAAAACATGCATTCTTTTCATTTATATAACAGTTGTTCTGCTAGAAGTATACCACTATAAATTGAAGTGGGTGTTTGTACCCTTTTTCCATTGTCCATCTACGACTATGATTGATTTGACAGAAAATATAATCTCTAAAATCGTATCTGACAATCAGGCGCTACTAGGGAAATTGACAAGACAAAGAGCAGAATATATGTCTTATTCTTTTATTCACTTAAACCATTGTATTATAGAAAATAAAAAAGGACAAAAGTTCAGCTGTGTCCGAACTCTTATCAAACTAATACCATCCAGTGACTCTAGTATGTTCTAATCTACTGATGAAATTGTGAAATGATTTTTTTTTTCAATATGTTGTTCTGTAACAATTAGTATAGGAATTATTGTCTATACCCTATTTGGTCTATAACTAAAAATGTTTATTCTACCATGTGACATGTATTTGTAATAAATGAATGAAGAAACTAACAGCAACATATACAACATCCTAACTATATGGACGGAGAAAATGTTACAGTTTTCTAAGAATGCACCCCAAAATCTTCAAAGACTTGATTGTTACATTAATGATGTTTTCCACAAAACTCATATTTTGATCAGAAACCACTCCTAAGTACCTCATTGATGACACATGCAAAAGCTCTTTATCCTCAATGTAATAAGATGATTCATATTTCTTTTTCATTTTATACAAGCTTATAAAAGAACATTTTTCAATATTCAGATGTAGTTAATTTTTAATGCACCATTTAATTAACTTATTTAGGTGTTCTTGTAGACTTTTTAAATCCTTATACAAGTTAACAGGTCCATACAGTTTTAAATCACCAGTTTCATTGAAAACAATATTTTTTAATCCATGTAATAATAAATTTGGGTCTACCCTATCAAATGCTTTGCTGAAATCGATTTTATTGTACAGGCTGTCTCATTTTCGATGTCCTTATGGAATATCTCACTCATTTTCAGAGATAGAGGTTGGTGGTTTTTATGAACGTTGGCTACTTTTTTATGAAACTCAAGATATCATAAACAAAATTGTCATAGCATGCTTCCTTTTTGAGATAAAGGGCGAAATTGAAAATGTTGCATTTTGACACCCTGCTGTACATCTTTCAACTTATTGAAAAAGTGAAAACTATTTTTTTTCCACTTAGAATCAAGTGGCATAGTCATATTTTCATAATAAGCTGTTATTATTCAGATATAACCCAAAGTTATGTTTTTTGAATGGAACACCCTGTATATTTTTTCATATTTGAAACATTGATGCTCTGTGCTTCCAAAAATATATATCACATAAGGAAAATATCAAGTATTGGCCATGAACTTAGATAATTTCTAGTTTTTCAGTATATTTTTCATCCATGGGCCTTGTAAATATGTGGCAACATTGTCCATATCATGAACTTTCATATTTACCTTGTTGCGTCACACACTAGTTTCAATTTAATGAACATTAACATTTACCAATATTCAGCACTATTTTACTCATTATTTACTATACAAGGACAAATGATAATCCAGGATATCAAATCTAGGAAAATTTAGAAACTATCTTATATCCCAAACATATATCTAATGTTTTGTAGATTTTATATCCTGGATTATTATTTGCCACGGAAAATTTGTAAACTGGACACGGATTAAAAAAAATTTAAAAACGCTTTTTTCCATAGTCACCTACTAATATGGTCCACAGCTTTTATAGTTGATGAATAATGCTGAATATTTGTAAACGTTGAATGTGGTTAAAATTGAAACTAGTGAAAACGAAAAAATGTGTCAGTAATAAGGTTAATATGAAAATTTGTGATATTGACAATGTTGTCACTCATTTACAAGGCACATTGATGAAAAATCTACTGAAAAACTAGATACCAACATAGTTTATTTTGAAAATCTGACTACCTCACTGGATTCTACTTGAAAAAATGTGAAGAATGCAGTTTTTACTTTTTCGATAAGTTGAAAGATAACTGAGATACAGAGAGAATCCCAAAATGCAACATTTTCAATTTTGTCCTTTAACTCAAAAACAAAGCAAGTTATGAAAATGTTGTTTGTGGTATTTTGAGTTTCACAAAAAAGTAGTCAACGTTCACAAAAACCGCAAATCTCTATTTTTGCAAATGAAAAAAAGTAAGTATAGGATCTGGACAAATTTGTTTCTGAAAAAAAAAACAGTTTTCTCTTCTAGAGACTAAAGCAGAAACTCCTATTATGGAATTAGTCCAAGTTCTACAGGAGAATAATGTAATATAATATCTTCTTTTCCCAATATGAATATTTGTTTTCGAAATTTTTGAGCCAACAATTTTGTCTCAACTAAAACAAGATCTACTAAATGAAACTAATGTATAGAGCTTGTGAAGAGTATCATACATAAAGGCTTGCATTTAAGCAAGAAAACACATTTTTGTATTGTTACTTTATGTTCCTAGTTATGTACTTGCCAATTATCATTTGATTTTCCTCTTTTATTCTAACATATACATATATTATTCATTTTCCTTGTTATTCATTATGTGAACACTAAAGAATGATGTTATTAATTTTATTCCACAACATCCTGTTTGTTATAATATATTTTTCATTTTGTTCATAAAAAAAAACTGGTGTGCATAAAACTTATATGGTATAGGTACACTGCTTATATTATGATTATGCCAGTCTTATGGTACACAGCACCCTGTAAGCAATTTTGCCGTTTCACTCCCATCCCAGAAAACATCCAACGTGTCTATAGACTTTATTATCACTTCAAAAATGTGTCATGGGAAAAAATCCAAAGACCTTTTTTTTTAGCACTGGTGAGATATTAAGGACATTGAAAATGGGACAGCCTGTACACTGTGTAAACAGATAAATTTGACAATAATAAAAAGTTCACATATATCCTAGAAAAATAATCTGCAAACAGATGTGAAATGGCTTCAACATGGCTAGCTAATGTTTCAACAGCTGTGTTTACATTTTCTGGCATTTTTACTATCTGAGCATTCTGTCCAATGCATTGGTGCCAAGTAATTATGTTAATCCACTTCTATATTAATTCTTAAAGAACAAACTTTTCAGAAGTCTAGATAATTGTGCCAGCAGTAAGTTCTTACTGGTAATAGTGGTAATAAAAGTGAGAATATGCATGCTTTATGAATCCATACCATGAGCCCTATCTGTGGTATGGTATGGATCCATGCCATGAGCAGTCAACCTATCAAAGACAAGGTACTGAGCATTTTTTAATGTGTTCCAGTACTCCATAACTATTTTCTGAAGCCAAATAATTGAAACTTTACTCTGATGGTACAATAGAACACCTATTAGGAATTGTTACATAACTTTCCATAGTATTATTATTTACCTGTTCTGAATAGTGGTTGGAATCATGTATCAGTTCAATGAGATCTGGTACTGGGCTTTTCTTCTCCACTATTGTCCATGTGAATCGAGGGAGTGGGAGGTCAATATTAGCAGTGATAACTTCATTTCTAATAGGAATGTTGGCTTGGAAAGCTGCTACTAATTTTAAAGCTGAGAAAAATTGCTTCTTGTTGAGGAAGGTTGTGCCAGGGGTCCAACAGATATCTGAAATCTTATTGAGATACCTTTGACTGATATTCTGATATCAGTCAGTTTATCAAATATAAATGAACACTTTTAGTACAGAATTTGGATAGATATTTAGGAATTAAGGGAAACAGTAGACAAACTGAGGAATATATCTAATGAATCATGTCATCTCATTTCTAATGTTGGTAAATTGATAAAAGCGACGATATTAAATGATGTAAAAGGGTGATCAATATATTATATTCATAATACTTTCACACCATCCAAGTATTATCCAAATATTACCTGTGAAATGACGTCTTCAGGAACACTCCCGGATTCAATTAATTCTATTGTTTTGTTCAATGTAGTCTGTCCCGTATTTTCTTCATCACAACATAAAAATACATCAGAAAAATACCTCTGCAAAGTATCAGATAGACATAATTCATCCATTTCTTGATGTGAATTTTATAAACTAGCAACCCATAACCTTCCTGTTGTTTTGACAGGACTGACTGATTAAAGGGTCTGTTTTTTTGGCATTTTGGCACAGAAAAAATGTAACCCTATGACCAAGGTCAAATCTGTCAAATGTCAAATTAATAAATCTTTCTCCACAGAAACCACAGAAACCATTCTACTCGACTTACGAGTGCCTGCAGACAGTTCCCGCACACTACATCAAATATTCTGGCATTCAACCATTCCAACTGAAATGTTTATATGTCATTTTTCCTCGAACCTAACCAGACAAACCAGGTTAACTTTATGGTGACGTCACGTTAGTCACGGTTTACTTGTGAAGCTTGACAGATGTCAGTTTATCAGCTGTTTTTGTTGATTGTTTGGTTTGAGTAGTAGATAATACCTTGAGTAATAGAAATATATTGATTAAGTAATTCATAATCTGTACTTAACAAAAATATATCATAGCTAGGAACTAGGTACTTATACCTACTTCAAATTCAGAAAAATTGGAACAATTTGCCACATCAATATTAACAATGGATCAAATATTTATTTCCTTCAATAATATGATGAGATCCCAATTAATTTTTATTATCAATTATATAATCTCAGATTATAACAACAACAAGAGCCCAATCCGCAATTCAGTACCCAATCAAAAGCCTCGCAACTACTCCGTGAACTACCTCAGTGAGCTGGTTTGTGTGGTTGGTCAACTATTACGTCATAGTTTGGAATACACCTCGAGGAAAATTGACTGGTTAACTTATTGTTGACCCGGTTTGTGTGGTTAACTTCGAGGAAAAATGGCTTATAGTCTCTATAGGTAGGGTCCAGTGGCGGCTCCTCAGAGGAGGCTACGGAGGCTGAGCCTCCTCAGAGATTTTCCTTAAACTAATATTATTCATACTTTCTCATTAAAACGACACCAAAATACATGGATTTTGATTTCATTTCCTGTTTTTAGTTGAATATTTTTGAATTGGCAACAGTGCTTGCCCACGCATCACACGTTGAAGTCTGAAAATCACGCGTAAAATATTCAACTTGGCAACATCTATAGAGGCTAGACTCCTTCACATGGCGAAACCTACGCGTGCAATGCAAATGCCCGAATATGCCCGAATAGCACGTGTTTGTCGTGTCGCTTCGCGAATTGCGGACAAACGCGAGTGCATTGTTTATGTTTATGTTAGGTTAATGGTTAGGGGCTCTATAAATTTCTGAAAAATGAGTGTTTTAAACGATTGCGATTTAGTGGAATACTTTTTGGTGAACCCATTCAGTGCTTTGTCTTATGAAGATAAATTGATTGTGAAAAACAAACGTCCGACACCGGAATTAAAAAATCTGATTGTAACAGGTAACAAACAAAATCGTTCGTACAATTCTGATAATTATAAAAAATATATCTGGTTGACGGGATCTGAGGTAAGGAATAAGCTATTTTGTTGGTACTGCGTATTATTTTCAACCGATATAAGTCATCATGTTGGGTGCGATTAGGATATAATGATTTGAAAAATTTGCCTCGCGGACTGGATAGACACTGCAAATCACAGGAACACATCTCTACAAGTATTTGAGTTCAGGTTAACTGGTATTTGAGTGAGTAGAGAGTTGTTTTTCACAATAAATCTCATATCAATCAGCCTCCTCTGTCTTGAAAGTCACGAGCCGCCACTGGTAGGGTCCCTTGATGGAAATTGACGTTAAATTGGTTAGTCATCTCAACAGGGTACGGACATGATCAAAGCTCCATTCTTTTTTAATGATCTGGAGACTTTGGTTTTGTCTACTGGCATCCCTGATATTGCTGTCACGTCACATCCATGGGCGCTACAGAAAATCATTCAAAATTTTAATAACAGGTATGTACAGGCTATTTACTTGTTGAGGAAGATCATATGACGAACGAGTTTTGTAATTATTATCCGATTCTATGCAAAATTGGAAGGTATCTGGGGTTTTCCGGGGTTGGAGATAATGATTGTTTCGTCAAACTTGGAAAATTCAAGATGACGGATCCAATATATAGTGGAAGAAATTTCGAATTATAATCTGATTCTACTCAAGATTGGTATCTGAGGGTTTTCGGGGTCGAACTTCATGATTTTTTGTCAAAATTTGGGGAATTCAAGATAGCGGATCCAATATATGGCGAACGAATTTTGTGATTATTTTGTCAAAATTGGGATATTTAATATGGCAGATCCAATATGGTGGACGAGTTTTGTAATGAAGATCCGATTCTATTCAAAATTGGCATCTGGGGGTTTTCGGGGTATATAGTAGATTGTTTCGTCAAAATTTTAAAATCCAAGATGACGGATCCAATATTTTTGTTTTGTTTTTTGTTTGTAAGCAGAGTTAGGGTTAGGGATTCCATTGTTCTTAGGGTTTGATTGTTTAGAAAAAGTAGTATCTTTTGTTCTATCAAGTAATTTCTCGAAAAATATATTTTTTATTAGGCGGGTTCATTGAGACCTGTTAAGTGAAATTGTTCAAGAAAGTATTCTCCTTCTTTATGCAGAAAGGACCTTCCTTACATTCATCTTTGGTAGAAGTCCAGTCCATGGTTTATTGAGATAGCCCAAAACATGTACCTGAAGAATGTGGAAATGACTTTCATCTATGAACTTCCTTATTACGTTATTATTATCGTGGAAGTAAGAATATTGGATGTAGTATGCGGGAACTGCCTGCAGGCAATCTCTTGGACTTCATTTTGGACTTAGGTCAAACTAGAGTTCCTAAATGTACTTGACACTGTTGTTTCGATTAGATAAAGCTGTCATTGCTTGGAATTTGATATTCCATGAACGATGAAATAATAACACAATGGAGTCATTGTGATATCAGATATCAGATACGGAAATAAAATCGATGACATACAAAGTACGTCATTGATGTATCGAACACAGTGAAATAAGAAGACAAGAACAATTTTTTTCCGCAGCATGCAATTATTTTCTAACTGGCGAGAGACGTTTCTGCTCGGTGACAGATTGACACTATTGACAGAAGACAGAAGTGAAGAAAAGGGGTAAGGAAGAAGTAGAGTAGAAGAAGTAGAAGATGGTAGAAGTTTGAAGTAGAAGGTTAGAATAATTTCTTCATAAATCATACTCTATTACGTAAACAAAAACAAAAAGTACTGCAGGTTCTCAGTGAATTCTCAATAAAAATTTATAGGACTATCAAAAACGAGGTAAATTTTTCCTAATTATCTACACCATGTGTGATTATGTGCTCTTCATGTTGTTATAAATACATTTGTTTTACTTCCCTCTATTAAGCCCCTTGAAAAGTTTTCCTTGTAACTCCTTCAGCTGATTTGTCATTTTCTCCGACTTTATCTGAATGCACCTTCAATCAACATATTTCAGATGCTGCGCAGTGCTCTGGTACCATGCAAAGAAGTAATATCCAATCAAAATATATTGAGAAACTTATCTGGCAGTTTTGGCAATGTACAGTTACATAAAAGAGAACAATCTACACAGCCTGTACCAGCAGATAGACCATATTCACCCTTCCAAGTATCTAAAAACAACCTTGCTGAATATGCATTTGCACGTTTGGATGATTTGTTGAATTGGGGAAGAAAAGGATCCATGTGGCCCCTTACTTTTGGTTTGGCTTGTTGTGCAGTAGAAATGATGCATATAGCTGCTCCAAGATATGATATGGACAGGTGTGAAGTTATTTTTATCACAAATCAAAATTATAGTTTGGAATAGATTGATTTCTGCCTCTACTTCTAATATAATATGGTGAAAGAGTACATATAGTGAATAATTCATATTTGCAGTAACAATTCCAGCATTGATTTTGGTTTCTAAATCTGTCATAGCAATGCTGATTCTGTTCCTTGCAAGACAATTCAATCTTTTGCATGCATTATGTCAAGTTTGAATATGGATTGGTGGCAAGGAGTACATCAAAATTCACACCATTGATTTTCAGTTAATTTTTTCCTATTCTTGAGTATATTTGATTTGAATGAAACAAATGAGACTTTTAATGAGCATTGTAAATTTAATTGATTGAAATGGATATGACAGGTGGGACATTATTTTTCAAGGAATTTTTGACTCATTTAGTTCATAATAAATAAACAGAGACAGATTTGGATGAAGGTATATTACTAACCCACAATAAGTGAATATTTACATCATCAAACAGAAAATTGATTGATACTGTTAGCATCTAGCAACTGGATGCGCCACTGCTCAGTGGAATGTGCTTAGATCAGAGCCTATGACAGACGTGTGTAAATACTGGTTCATATAGTATTCGGCTGATGGCAGCCGGGTTGTGATCAAGTGTAACCCTTGTCCATGTCATTTGTGCTCGTGTATATTATATTATGACCATAATATAACATCAGAAGTGGTTGAATTCATGCCCCAATGAAGTGACAAAATGCAATTATTTTTCCGGCGATTTTCACTGCAAAACAGATAGCTGTGGTTGAGGTATTTAGGTATTTATGCGTGATGCATTCCCGACGTTATGCCGTTATGTGATGTTTTATTGAACTGTAAGTACATGACTTCTTTAAAATAAGCAATGTACCAACAGTACGAAGGTCCAGTAACAGAGAATTTCGTGTTCGATCCTGAAATCCAGTATTTTTTTTTGCTATTTGTTTGTCTCGAAAACGCTGATAACGTTGACATTCCGATCAAATATCAGATGATTATTGGCATTGGAATGTACTGAACGTTTGTTGTTACCGTTTTCAATTGTATTGGCGATTACACGATATATATTTTGGAATTTCCTTCGATGAATTTGCAATTTCAGTTTGTGATGATAGTTATGATGTAGGTATGTTACATAATTTTTGAATGAATATCTCTGGATATTCGAGAATGCAGGTAATGTTCGTTGTTCATGATTCAGTCGTGCCCGAGTTGTGTTTCATTTCAACAAAAGGTGAACAGTAGATTGGATATTGTGAGATTTGAAGAAGTTTGGATGAGATTTGTATAATGATCCTCAAAGATTGCAATATTTCCGTGAGATTTGCATGATCATAGACTACAGAAGATAATCTTTGGCATTGATTCATCAACAAATGAGAGATTTCTGGTGATTTTCAATATACATGAGACTGTCAAAGATTTTCAAGGTTCATTAAAATTACACGAATAGATGGAACGAATCTGAAATTGTTTTAAAGAAATTTGTACATATGGTAGGTACCGCACTCTATTGATTTTTTTTTCTTGATAAAAAGATGATCGTTGTACGAAAACTTTTAATGCAAGTAGGTAGAACGAGTTCTGTGAGTAGAACATACGAACAATGTTGGCATTGTTGACAAGTCAAGATCTGAGGCTAGACAAATAATTTTTTTTTTGTTTATTCGCTCGCTGGCCGTTTCCGCGAAAACGGAGCAAAAAAGGGTTCCACAGGCAGAGCAAAAAAAAAATGTATCAATCAATCAATCAATCAATCAATCAATTTATTGGTATCAAAATACATAGATAGTATTTATACAAGTCAATAATTAGAGTACATTTAAAATTTAAAATTTTCAACATATATATATGTCAATAAAATAGATTACATTCAGGAAAGTTGATAGAGGAGAACCCTCCAACATCATGTCAACCAAATTTCCACTAACCAGTCCTACCAAATGCTATCGCCTTTGAGCCCAGTCAAAATTCAGGAATTCTTGATAACTATAGAAAGCATGATCAATCAGGAATTTCTTTACATGCGATTTGAATGTTTTTATCGGTAAATCTCTAACCTCAGTAGGAAGGTGATTGAAAAACTTAACAGCCCAGTAATTTGTGCCATTTTGGCATTTCGTGAGTCTATGATAGGGAATTAAAAGATCAGCTCCATTTCTAGTTGAGTAATGATGAATATCACAATTTCTAGTATATAAGGTTAAATTTGTCCTGATATGCAGTAAGTTTTGTAAAATATATATACAGGGAAGTGTCAAGATTTCCATTGAACTAAAAACATGGCGACAGTCATCTCTATATCGAAGCCCAGCTACTATTCTTATAGCTTTTCGTTGTGAGGCAAATAATCTATTGATGTCTGCATGACCCCAGATAATGTTAGCATAGCTAAGGTGTACATGAAAAGTAGCGTGATAGGCGTGTATGATGTGGTATGATGATGAGTTGTTTCAACATGTTTATTCGCTATCAACTAAGATTTTTGCCTGGTATTGACAATCAGTGTTAAATTTGTTGACTGCATCGACAATGTAGGTCTCATGGAATAAAAGATTTGTAGTAATAGATCTTTCTTGGCAGAAAACATGTTGTGTTGAGCTGATGATATTTTTGAATTTGAATTTCAGAAAATCATTTACAATAGATTCAAATGCTTTGGGTATGAGCGATATCTTTGTGATTGGGCGATAATTTAATACAGAGTATTTTCTTCCTGACTTCTTGTAAATTGGCACAACATAAGAGTTTTTTCCAAAAATCTGGGAAAGTACCTGATTGAAGAGAATTATTGAAAATAATCCAGAGTGGACGGGACAATGAAAATGCACAAGATTTTATGAAGATTGCTTGTATAGTATCAGGGCCAGCCCCTTTAAACCAATCAATGCTCTGAAGTTTTTCTAGAATGTCAGAAATATTTATAAATATTTTATTAATGCTGATGGGATCAAACTCACTGTCTGATCTAGGATCTATAGAGGTATTGTCACTGGAGTATACTGAAGAGAAATGTTCAGCAAAAGATTTGCAATTGAATTGCCATCAGTTGCAACCTCATTATCAAAGAATATCTTATTGGGAATACCATCCTCCTGAATTTTGGAGCGAATATAATTCCAGAATAATTTGGGATCAGAGATAATTCCGTTTTCAACTTTAGAAATATAGTTATTGTAGCATGATGATGATTGTTCTTTGCATAATGATCTTAAATGAGAAAAAAATGTTGTAATCCTCCATTGAGTTGGTGCGTTTATATTGTTTATGAGTTTATGAGCCTTTGTTTTTTTTCAGTACATGTATTATAAAAACCACAAGTAAAAAAGTTGGTTTTAGTTTGGGCTTTCTGACTGATAAGGATCAGTTTGGCCTTTCTGACTGATAAGGATCAGTTTGGGCTTTCTGGTTTTTGAAAATTTGGTCTTTCTGACTGATGAAGGTTGGTTTCAGTTTGAGCTTTCTGGTTTTTGATAACCTGGGCTTTTTGGCTGAAGGAATTCCATCTATCATGGTTAAGTTGATATGCATTTGTGGAATGAATTGTTGTGATTCATGATTGAGTATTATCAAGGTGAAGTTGAAGCTAAAGTTGATTGGAGACACGTTTGACTTACAAACCTCTGAGCTGTCAAATATGCCGTTGCCATATTTGAAGACACGTTTGATAAACAAACCTCTGAGCTGCCATATCACTGTGATTTTTATTGGAGACACGTTTGACTTACAAACCTCTGAGCTGTCAGATATGACGTTGCCATATTTGAAGACACGTTTGATAAACAAACCTCTGAGCTGCCATATCACTGTAATTTTTATTGGAGACACGTTTGACTTACAAACCTCTGAGCTGTCAAATATGCCGTTGCCATATTTGAAGACACGTTTGATAAACAAACCTCTGAGCTGCCATATCACTGTAATTTTTATTGGAGACACGTTTGACTTACAAACCTCTGAGCTGTCAAATATGCCGTTGCCATATTTGAAGACACGTTTGATAAACAAACCTCTGAGCTGCCATATCACTGTGATTTTTATTGGAGACACGTTTGACTTACAAACCTCTGAGCTGTCAGATATGACGTTGCCATATTTGAAGACACGTTTGATAAACAAACCTCTGAGCTGCCATATCACTGTAATTTTTATTGGAGACACGTTTGACTCACAAACCTCTGAGCTGTCAAATATGTCGTTAACATATTTGAAGACACGTTTGATAAACAAACCTCTGAGCTGCCATATAAATGTTCTTTTGGAGACACGGTTGACTCACAAACCTTTGAGCTGTCGAATACGTCGCTTACAAATTTGAATAGGTACTTATATCAAAAAAATCATGAGCTGCTACTACTTGGAGTCTGTCGAGCGACGAGAGTCGGAAGAGCGCCGATGTCATCACATATCAAGAATCAACTATAACATGTTAGTCCGATGAGGGATAATTTCATCATCAGCGACATCAGCTGCGGCATCCTATGGACAAACGAGTTTTGGTGGAGGTTTGTTCGACGTTTCTTGGGTTTGGCGATAGAGGGGCGCGCTGAGTGGGCTTGTCGTATTTTGTCTACTGGTAATGAAACGATAACAGAGATTTCCGAGATAGCAGAGCCATGTAGGTATCCAAGGTGGGTTGGCACTTAGGCCTAGTGGCAAGGTGAGTTGACACCTAGGCCTGGTGACAAGGTGGGTCGACATCTCGACCTGGTAAAAGTGGGTTGACACCAAGGCCTAATGGCAAGGTGGGTTAACAATTGTGCTCTCTGACGAGCTCTAAATGACATAAAATTTAGTCAGGATGAAACCGAGCTTGTTGGGCCGAGAGCGTCCCAATCTCAGGATGGCCGTGTTAGCATCTAGCAACTGGATGCGCCACTGCTCAGTGGAATGTGCTTAGATCAGAGCCTATGACAGACGTGTGTAAATACTGGTTCATATAGTATTCGGCTGATGGCAGCCGGGTTGTGATCAAGTGTAACCCTTGTCCATGTCATTTGTGCTCGTGTATATTATATTATGACCATAATATAACAGATACATAACTGTTAGACTGAAGATTCTGTTAATTTTCTCACTCATAGTAATCAAACCAATTTTCCAATAATCAAGGACTGTATATTTCATGTTTTCTACATATACCAACTCTACTATGGTTAAGAGGCATACTGCCCACAGTGAAAAGCAGAATAAAAGAAAAAAAAAGACATTGAGGCCTGGATTGCGGCACACACACAACCCCTTCAGCATCACTGGATAGTCTATAAATAGAACATGTAGTTCTGGTTGTCAAGTGGGGTGCTGCCACTGTCAACAAATTATGGTCCCAAACAGATTCTTGTTATGTTATTCCTGTGTGGAAGCAACTTCTCCTCATTGTTGAGAAAACAGGATCTATATAATATGGAGAATTGAAAGTAGCAAGATTCTGGAAGTTTATAGGGACAGTGAAGGAAACATGAAGGATCCATCTAAAATATTTTAGTTATTGTTAAACTTCTGGTTTTTCCAGAAGAGACATCATATAAGTTATTTATCAATGATTTTGATTCAAATTCATGCATAATACCCTATACATAAAATGAACCATTTTGAGTTATGCTTGTTCTTCTAGAAAAAGTGACAAAATCCAGCCTATCCAACATGCCATTTTTATGTGAATTGCATTTTTTGTGATATGCAGTTTCAATCTTCAATATTCATGGTTTAGTCACTGCATATTACTAAAAATTGCAATTCACATATAAATGGCATATGTTCTTTATATTGCATTTGTCACTTTTTCTGGAAAAACTCAAATATCTTAGACTGTTCCGAGGACTGTTCACTTTATGTATAAGGTGTGTATTTAGATCTATGAGGGTTTGATACATGAATTTGAATTAGAATAATGAGAGGAATTCAAAAATGTTGTAAATTACAGGAGGTCCCATTGAAAATAACAAAGAAGACGTCACTTCCAGAAAAACCAGAAATATCTTAGTTGAATTCTCCAGGTTTCCTTCACCATTCCTATGCATTTTCAGAATCTTGCTACTTTTGGTTCTCCACACAGACAGGCTGATTCACGGTGTATGGCATATTAGATGTGTCTTGTAAACCAATCACTTTAAAAATTCAATGGACATATTTGGACATTCTCTATCCAACCTTTGAGTATTCAATCAATGACAACTGAAATAATTTCCACAATGCAACCATTTTTATTAGAAAGTAGTAGCAACTTTGGAAATATTGATACAAATTATTATCAAAAATCAAAACAATTCTGCAGAATATTTTGGAATATGTTCGAATTGCTGGCCATTTACTCCCAACCCATCAAAATATGGGTGTTGACTGCTCTCCTCATGGCAGATCTGATGTCATTTGGTTCCAAATCTTCAAATGTTTTGGTAAGCCTTTGTTACAATTCATCTCTTAGACACACTGGTGTTCTGTAAACTTTTTCTTTGAACATTCCCTACAGATTGAATAGTTTTATTCAATCATGAAAATGTTGATATGATTAGGATAAGTGAGTAAGTATTTATTTTCATTAGACTTGCACAACAAGTATAGAAATTGTCAATTGAAGATAAAAACAGTAGTAATATAACTAGACATTAGCCCAAGATCTGGGAGAAAAAAAAAACAAAACAAAATAAACACAGAATTGTTTACAATTAATTATGTGAGAAACAAATGTACTGCAAGACAAATGATACAAATTAAAATAAATCATCAAAATATTCCATGAGAGAGTAGTTTCTATTATTTTTCAGAAATAATTTGCACTGCCTTTTGAATAAAGGATACTTCAGAACTTTAAGTGAGTCAGGCAAATGATTATATATTTTGAGAGCTGTTATGACTGGACATATTCTAATCTGTGCAAGTGAAGCTGGAGGAATGAATAGTTTATTTGCATTTCTTGTTGTATAATGATTGATATCACCATAGTTTTTGAAGTTTTTTAGATTATCATGAGTGAAGCATAGCATAGAGTGGCCAGAGTGTGAATATTGTAAATAATAATAATAATAATAATAATATTAATAATAATTTTTATTTTCCAATGGACATGATATACATGTATAGGAATAGTAAAAGAATAGTCAAATATACCTGACAGAGGAACTAATAAATATAGGAAGTGATAAAATATTGTAAAACATGATATAAAGGAGCAATACACAAAGATATACAATAAAGAGTAAGATACAAAAAATAAAAGTACATGTAGTGGTTGAGATGAACTAACATGAATAAAATGAAAACACTAACCCTGTACATGTGGAGCAAAATACTCCTCTAATGTATGGGGACATTTTTCAATGAGGAAATATTTTAACCTATATTTGAAACTATTCAAGCTCACAATATTTTTGACCTCACGCAGGAGATGATTGAATACTCTCAGTCCTAAAATGGTTGGAAGTTTTTGAGAAATGAATATCTGATGACTTGAGTCCCTTGGTCTCATACCAAAAATACTTCTTATTATCCATTTTCAACTGATAAATACCTTTTCAGAACCAGAACTATTACCCCAACACAGTATGCCTTGCATTAGTTGAGAATGTACACAGCTATAATTATATGACATTATAGCTTCGGTATTTGTTACTTTTAATAAATAAACTTTGCTGTTAAATAGTATTCATGGCCTGTTTACCAAATACAAAATGGGGATACAATTTTGAAGGAACATTTTCACAAATAAATGCTCTGAAACTTGAATAGTTAGGTATGATCTTTGAGTAGTGTATATAATCAAGGGTACGATATACATAAAAAGAAAGCAAGTTTTAGCAGCTTTCCGAATTTTCCATAATATACAGGGTGCTCCAATTGGAATAATCAACATTCAGTCACTTCTCCAGGTTCAGGCAAACGAAATAACTGTATTTTTCACAACCCTGTATTGAAGTACCAGTGATAAGGCTGAAGTGCGGCAAGTCTCCAAGTATCACCTAATTACATACCGAATTTCGATATCATAGTACTTATATACTAAAAGATATTAGATGATATCAGAATGTTCAGAGGTCAGGCTTCTAGAAGAAAAAAATTGCAATTAATTTTTATTTTGAAAACGATAACAGATAGCTATTTGCGGTGGTCAAGGTAATCATCTGACATTTCTAACTTTCAATTTAAGCCAACAGTTAGGAATATTTTCCCGTAGTTTTCATAGTAGTCATTGCAACGTCAGATGATGACCTTGATTACTGGTGGCCAGGTAGCCGTGCGGACAGAGTGTCTATATTCTAATTCGCATTCGCTTGCCGGTCGTGGGTTCGATCCCCGTCGACTGCAGAAATTTTTCTGATGGCCCAAGAAAGTGTTTGGGATCACAAGTTAAAAGGTAAGGCCCCCGTCATTCCTTGCTCGCACAAGACTCTCGAAGACTTTTGAGGGTTGCTCGTAAGGGGGCAACCGAATGACGGATAGAACAATTTTAGAACAACAACAACAATTACTGCGAATAGGGAATAGTGTGTATAACACACTTCTACCATTGAATCAAGTATTTTCCAGTACCCGTTTGAACTAGATGGCCTTACATTTTTTTCAATATAATCGAATCATCTAAAGTACCTATTTGTAGTGTGTATTTTGGTGGTGGTGAGGTTTGATGTTGACTCAAAGACGGTTGACGATAGGTTCATTTCATAATTGATTATAGTAACTAATGATGCTGAGGTGGAAGTGCATTGCACTTCAGTTGTACTTTGTTCGCTTATTTCAAATATCGACCAAATTGTTGTGCAACGTTAGAGTTTTGCTGAATAGCACTATAATTCTCTTATTTTCAAATATTCAAATCACGGTTAACTGACATGTACCGCCATTTCTCTCACCGCTTCCACAGTCGCCTTCCTGTCTGCCCATCGAATAAATAGTCATGAGAAGTTGGAACTGGTTTCAGAATGGTGATTAATAAAACTACTTGAACTGCCAATTCCGTGGAAGACTAATTGTTCCATAATTCGTTTTTTTTTGTTCCATGGTCCATTGAATAGGATATGTTGCAGAAAATTCCATGAAAAATTCAATGGCTGCTACATATTCAGCGGATCAACCTGAAAATCCATTATTGAGTTTTTACTTCTTTTTGCTTTTTGAGATGGTAATAAAAAAATCAAAATAATGCAATTTTTGATTTTCATATAATGTTGTTTCAGTACATGAGTAACAACTTGTATCACCAAAATAAATAGTTTATTCCTAGGTTTATTCAATCTCATTCATAGAAGGGAACTGAATATTCAGAAAGGAGAAAATGTTGTTCAGATGAACTTCACTATCTGGTATTATGATTCTACTCTTTCTAGTATTCAAAATTGAAACTTAAACATTCGAATCAAGAATATACATATTCAATTACTGATTGAAAACCTTCACATTTTCAACACATTCAATGTGGCCCCTTCTTTCCGTGCAATGGCAACGCAGATGAGTTTTCTAGTTTTACGAAAGTATGGGGAAAATGAAATGAATAGGAAGAAAATGTAACTTAATCACACTTCCAATCACCTATTTCTCCATGTTCCAGGTATGGTGTGGTTTTTCGAGCTTCACCTCGTCAAGCTGATGTGATACTTGTAGCAGGTACAGTAACGAATAAGATGGCTCCAGCTCTGAGAAAGGTTTATGACCAGATGCCTGAACCACGATGGGTTGTTTCCATGGGAAGTTGTGCTAATGGTGGAGGATATTACCATTATTCATACTCAGTTGTAAGGTATGACACATATTGTTACGAAATACCAAAAGCTGATGAGTGTATTTGTTCTTATCCTCTTCATGTGGTTTTCCCAAAACAGTTATACTCTTATCTAGAAAGGATGATTTCTCCGAATATCCTACATTATATTTCGTTCTATTAAGATAAATGACTATTTGCAGTATAATAGGGTCTGAGCTTCTGGAGAATTTTATGCATATTTTGTATCTATAAACTACTTGCCTGCTTTCATGACTCAAACAACGACTGCTAGTGAAAAACTTTGATTTTGTTCATAAAAATGACCTCCAAAAATATACCAGGTGACACAGACTCATGGTGTACTCCCTTTCCTCCTTTGTTTTTCTAGCAATATTTCCGAAATTTGGAACATCGAATATGCTCACTAGAGGGCACTTTCTCACATTTCAGGATTTTTCATATTCCGGTTCTCCTGGAAATGAAATCAACTTCCGATTTTCAAATGGATCACCCTATTTCTTAATCAGTTAGAGATTATCATAACGAATTTAATGATAACAGGTTTGACTGGGACATCTCAAATGATTGTGAAGATATACACGTTCAAAATTTCCATATGCTCAATGAGTGTACCAGAGAAAGAAGTTTCTATATTGCGCCGTCACACCCATTGGTATATGGAAACTTCAAACGCAAATATCTTCGTAATTAATTATTTGAAATAACTCTATCAAACAACTCGTTTTGATGATCCCTAATTGTTTATGGAATGAAATACAAGATGTTCCATGGAAGATAAAAAAAAATTCTTGGATGTGAGAAAGTACCCTCTAGTGACCTTATTAGATGTTCATTGTCAGATCCTTTCATTTTATCATTCCAAGTGACTTGAGTCGATGTCAAAAATGACAGTTTGGATCCTTCTCCACCTTGCACCACAACACAACTGAGAATTTGATCCTTATTCAATAACTTTTTAATTGTACAAAAGATGCAATTCACTTCTATTTTCAACACCCTTTCATTAGCTTCACCTGCATGTATCTATGTAACTGACTTCTTTGAACTCGATTTTGACCCACTTTAAACAGACCCATTGATTTGAAATTCAGGTGACAATACATCATGATATTTTTGTTTGACAAAAAAACAAAATGGGAAACCAGTTTTGTAATTATGATCCGATTCTATTCAAGATTGGTTTCTGGGGGTTTTCGAGGTCGGAGTTTATGATTCTCTCGTCAAAATTTGTAAATTCAAGATGACGGATCCAATAAGGCGAACGAGTTTTTCAATTATAAGTTAAATATATTCAAAATTTGTGTGATGGGTTGCTCCCAATAAAAAAACGCTGATTCAAGAATACCAATTTACTTGTACCAATACTTCGATTACAACGTGGACTGTAAAACGTTGATTGAGCAAAAGAATAGAGGGTACGGACTAAAATGAATTATCTAACACAGTATCGCTAATTTCGGTGATATATCAATCATCTCTCAGAATTTTTCCCTCGATTATTATGGCAACACAATTGAATATCAACCACAGTTGCTAGGCAGACTTTTCTAAGGGAAACCGTGGTGACCTTTTAATGGTATCCCAAATAACATGAGTACTAAAGAAAAGTAAGACCTCATGTCACGTGTATGCTATATGAAATATACAGTAAGATTACCGAACAATTTGTATCTGGGGCAGTGGCGGCTCCTCAGAGGAGGCAACGGTGGCTGAGCCTCCTCAGAGATTCTCCTTAAACTGATATTATCTATACTTTCTCATTGAAAGGACACCAAAATACATGGATTTTGATTTTATTTCCTGTTTTTAGGTAAATATTTTCGAATTGGCAACAGTGCTTGCCCACGCATCACACGTTGAAGTCTGCAAATCACGCGTAAAATATTCAACTTGGCAACATCTATAGGAGGCTAGACTCCTTCACAATGCGTAACCCACGCGCGCAATGCAAATGCCCGAATACGCCCGAATAGCACGTGCTTGTCGTGTCGCGTCGCGAATTGCGGACAATCCAGCGCGTGTGCAGTGTGCATTGTTTATGTTTATGTTAGGTTAATGGTTAGGGGCTCTATAAATTTCTGAAAAATGTGTTTTAAACGATTGCGATTTAGTGGAATACTTTTTGGCGAATCCATTCAGTGCTTTGTCTTATGAAGATAAATTGATTGTGAAAAACGAACGTCTGATAATTATAAAAAATATATCTGGTTGACGGGATCTTTGGTAAGGAATAAGCTATTTTGTTGGTACTGCGTATTATTTTCAACCGATAAGTCATCATCTTGGGGGCGATCAGGATATAATCACAGGAACATACATCTCTTCAAGTATTAAGTTCAGGTTCACTGGTGAACAGAATGTCATTAAAGCTATTGAATTGGGTGAGTCGTAGAGAGTTCTTTTTCATAATAAATCTTATATCATTCAGCCTCCTCTATCATGAAAGTCACGAGCCGCCACTGATCTGGGGGTTTTCGGGGTCGGAGATTATGATTCTTTCGTCGAAAATCGGTACCTAAAAAAATATAAGAACATTAAAAAACTCGCTTTTGTAGTTAGCCGAACTTAAAAAAAAAAGAGAATGAATAGTGTTTCAAACAACTAAAGAAATATCTTTTTATAGATAGCCAAACTTGAAAGAGGTAGAAAATAAAAAAATAAAAGTGTATTGACAAATTCACAACATGGAATTTACTGATTATGGAGGTGCTAAAAAACACACTTTTATTATTTGACTAGCTTCTACCCACTGCTTCGCCCGCGTTCAAGCTCTTAAATAAACATCAAAGATACATTCCATTAGAACTGAATCAATGGGATTCAGTATATTTAGAAATTACTACAATGAAGTTTCAAAAACTGAGAACATAAAACAACATTGAGATGTATTAATTTCACTACAACAAGAATGAATTTTTTGTTGCGCCTTTTCTGTAGATGGACATTTATGGTCAAGTCACTGAATAGTAAAAAAAATGAAGTGATATATTTTGCGCCTTCATAGTTTCATGTCTGATTGTTGAATATTTTGTGTTGAACAATCATGTCTGCCAAAATAATATATTCTTAAACATTTTTCTTTTCTTTCAATAAAAAGTATCCTATGTCCTTTCTTATATATTTATGAATATGTATACAGAATTTCATGATAATCGGTTGAGTAGTTTTGGCGTGAAAGCCTGACAAACACACCTACATTCACATTCATAATATTAGGGATTTTTTACCTCTTTTCGGTTTGGCTATCTATAGAGAGGTGTTTCTTCAACTAATATTTATTCTTCAACAAATTTTGATCATGTCATTGACTTCCAGAACGGCTAAAATGATGAGAGAAAATGAGCAGAACGAAACTCACACAGGGTGTAAAGTGGAACTAATACACTATGGTGTATATTCGCGGTGCTCCCTGACCTCAGAAAATATAACCTGATCTAATATTAGAGCCTATCATAGTGGACCTTGGGCGTTGATAGAGGTATTGCTTTGAGAATATAACCAACCTGTGCAAATTGGTAGGGGATCCCCTCGCCCATCGTTCTGGCACTGTCCGGTGGCGACCTCATTGAATCAATTAATCAATCAATTTCAACAGTTCAATGAGGCAATACTCTTCATGTGTTACAGATTCCTTTGAATTAGTAGTTTCGCTAATAGTTATCTGCAATCCAGGAAGATATTTCAAAGAAACTGTGTATTTGCCGGACGGGGTAACCGGTTTGGTCGAGACCCTCAAGGTCCAGCAGCGAAAAGGAAGGGTTGAGAGAAATACAATGACCGAATACCTAATCATGAGAATAATGACAATTATAATAATAATAGGTCATAATAGTGATTATAAAAGGGATTCACAAATTTATCATTGTAGAAATGATTGCAGGTTTTGTTCTTTTCAAAAGTGAATATTACTCAAATTTGAAGTCATGAATGAAACATGTCATACAGATTGCTTTTTCGATTTTGATGATATTAGTCAGGTGTAGGCACAATTACATCACAAGTGTGAAAAGTGATATATTTTGTAGCAGTGCGGACACGTAACGGGTGCAAGAAATGCACTTCCCAACCATTTATGTACCCTATTTTTCCAACGACCATAATAATTATGAATGTATTAATGCGTATAATAAGTGTTTACATGAGACTAAGTGAGTACTATAACCACTCCATTATTCTTGTTTTTTATACTTGATGGGAACCGAATATCGCCATCGATTATCAAAATCAAATATCGAAATCGATTTTTAAAATCAATTCTAGGTATCGATGTAATTTCAACATTTTTTGACCAAACCAGACATTGAGAAATTATGAGATTCATCTTCTGGCGTAACTATAGATTCACCCTTATTATTCCATTGTGATGTAATTTCAACATTTTTTGACCAAACCAGACATTGAGAAATTATGAGATTCATCTTCTGGCGTAACTATAGATTCACCGTTATTATTCCATTGTCGCACCTTATTGATTGATATTTATGGTGAAAATCATTGTGATCCAGTGTTTCTTAAAACTATCATATTTTCATTCAATTAAATATTTCTTTTCAATACGTTCATTCCCAATCAAGGGGTTCATACTTGAACGATGGAAATTTGCTTTTACAAACCTCTAATCACAGATTCGGATTTTCTCATCAGAATTTTTCCACACCCTGTATGATGAACATCAATTCATCGTATGACTTTCAAATGAAAGATACAACTTTTTTCACCACTAGCTATTGAACCTTCTATTGTACTCCTTTCAAGGTGTAATAGATATTTACATATGAGTACCATAGAGACTCATATTACTATATGAGATGGGAAATTTGTAACCCATCGATTATTGTAATATGAGTTCATGATATGAATATAGTACAATATTTTACCTACTACCAAAAAGCTAGGTAACTATTTTTTTTTATCTCTTGGAGCGCACGAAAGGGAATCCCTATAATGTTCAAAGAACATCATGCGTATGGTTGTCGTGAATCTATTGTGTTCTCGGTTGTTACTCATTCGGCAAA